TGATCATGCTTATAATAAAATGATAAAGATTTTTATTGAATACGTGGCTTAGAGTGATTTTACTTGCATTTGACCCGTGAGACAGATACTAACAACTACTGCAAAATAGCTACTACAAAGTAGAAGATAGCAATAGAATTAGTGCATAATTAGTGCATAATAGTGGTAGACAAGTATTCTACTACCTATTTCAAGGGTTATAAGTAAAATCACTTTAAAACGGCTCATATTTTACACCTACAACAAAATTGTGGTTAACTGAAAGTAAAATAAACGGAAGGGAAAAAAGCTATTCAAAACGATTGACGGCAGTTTTTGCCTTCTTTTTAAATAAATGCGACACCCCATGCCACGTTTTATCTGTAGTATCACATTTAATTGCGTCCGCTGTGTCGTTTAACTTCCAGTGCTTACTTGACTTGATCTAATATGCTAACGCATACGTCCTACCAGTAAACAATTTTTCGGCATACTTTCAACCTCAAGTGAGTTTCAAGAGATTCGAGCTTATCAATTCTTACAAAAAGTTTGCGAAATTTCCGCAAAAATACCCTTTTCAATAATGCTCAGTGCTTCTTAGAAGAAAGTAAATTTTCAGGAAATGTTTTAAAAATGGATGATCACGCCGAATTGCATAAGTTTGGCAATCCCTACATATCTCTGTAAAATTACAAGTTTTTAAATAGCTATTTAATATTGGCCCGATTAATACCAAGCGAAACGAACTTTTTCAACGCCTCGTGTATACCCTTTTTCTATGCGGTTCTTATGCACTTATACAACGACTGGTACCCATCCCTCATCAGTTGAAGTTAGGCAATTTGAGTTGTAGATCGTGCGCGTTAAGATGCCGATGATTTTATCTAGGCTCATTGGAGTTCATTATGTAGTAAGATTTTCTATCATCATTCCCAGGAATCGAGAATGTTATCAAAGGTCAAGATGAAACAGCCTCCGAAATCAGCATAATTCTTCACATCACACAAAGCCGAATGCAATAATTGATTTACTATGATGCAAAACGTACTTTGACGATAACATCCGTCGAGCATTATGTTTTGCCTATTCTTGCATTTCCACCTTTTTCGTCTCCGGATAGCCGTTTAGCAGCATCGTTTCTGCCATCGATCAATTCGTTTCCAAACTAATATGCTATCGCATCAATGGTAGATTACTCGCATTTTCCTAATATGGTGAGCGCTTAAGCGCTGGTTGGTCCGCATAAGGGATTAGCAGCGGGGAACCAATCAGAAACGGCGACATATTTTGACGGAATAATAATAACCAAAAAATATTGAGTCCCAGACTGTTTTAACTCCTTACATGTTTCTTTATTTCATTCTGCTAATAAAAGCACGTACTTGAAAAAGCACAAATTATGAGATATTCGACGTCATTTCGCAAGTCCAAATACTTCTAATTCATCCACGACGAATAACCCATATCCGCCGTTCGAGTAAGCCTTGTCTTCATACTTTGTTCGAAAACCTTCCCTAATTTCTGCAAAACCCACGCGATTTGAATTTCCTGAAAGTGCAACAAGATCAATAACGTTGCCAAAATCACCAAACGCCGGCCCTCGGTCCGCTTTGCTTTTGACCCCTCCCCTAACGAACGTCTCTTTGCTGTGGGGATCGGGCGAGGGGAGCATTTTTTCTGGAGGATAGCCATGTGAGTTTTTCAGACTGAAAATGAATGACTTTTCGCTTACTTGGTGGTCATAGGCGTGGCCCTCAGCTGAAATAAATAAACAAACGAATTAATTTAAAAGCCAAGTTAAAAATGTAGCGAGAAAACGTCAATTCATGTAATGTTCCTTCTTTACTATTATTGCTGTAGTAACATTTTTATGCTCTTCTCTATTGAAATGCAGAATGAAATATATGCAAAGAGACGAAACGACGGAGAAAAAGAAGGACAAACAAACTTCGCAAAAGGCAGGACAAGCCTTTCTAGGTGGGGATGCCCTATGTACAAGAATGGGGTAATTTAATGTGACTCCGTTAACAGTTTTTGCACATTTTAATTAAATACTGAGATCAAATCTTGATCAGGACGTCCCAGTGAATGTTATAACCAGAAGTGCGGTTTTTTAACCCATAGGCAAACCCCATTTTGCTACGTTAAAATAAGGGATTCGACTGCATTGTTTTCAGGTTCAAACTCAATAAAATTTCAACATTAAGAAACATAATCCGCTCTCTACGATCAATGATAACGATGATTCGATAACTGATAGAGATGATGACCGCGACAATTATGATTATCATAATGATATTGTTGCTGATAAAGAACAACACAGCAAAATAATGTAAGGCGAAATTTAGATGGGCTGGTAGTTTTATCTCGACTTCCGTTTGCTTCTGATTAACCCCCGTCAACGTGGCATGTCTTTTCCTCAGTCCACTAATAACCGCTTCGACGCGCGCAGATTGCAAAACTGTTAGTAGAAATTGTTGCACATATCGTAAGGAAATTCAACTATTAGGGATAGGCGGGAACCGATTTGAGTGATAGATTGCGTGAAGGAAAAATTCAGTAATACAGCAACCGCACCTCACAGGAATAAAGAGAAGGTATTGCATTTAGGCCGGTTTGATGAACTACAAAGTTACTTACGTGAGGACCATGGCTTGTCCGCATAGCCACCAAAGACATTCTCACCACTTTTGATCACCACAAGAGTTGGTGACTTTCCATCACATCTCTTGTGAAAGTTAGCTGGCTTAAACCCATCTCTAGTTGCTTTGTACAGAATATCCCATTTGGCATCAACTGGTTCATGATCTGACATCCACGACAGCAGAGTATTTTCTTCATTAACGCTGGTAATTATTGACGACTCTCTGAACACTTTTGGCTGTAGACTCAGCTGGTTGATTAGTCCCTCTAGCTGATAAAACTTGGCTTCAGCGACTAGTTGGTCACGCAGTGGGGATAGGGTCTCATCAGAGCAGATTAACTTCACATTTCGAAAGTAATTGAGTATGTGCCTATTAGAGGACAAAAGGAACACTAAAGCTAATTCAAGCTATATGACAGATACAGCAAAATAAAGCGTGAGTTCAATACATTTTTACTTTTCCCACGATAAAACTAATGATTCCCACATTGCAATCATCCCCCCCCCCCACCTCACAATAAAAAATTGAAAGAAAAAAGGAATGAAAATTAAAGATTATACCTGACATCCATTTCCTAGTAAACAGATGAATAGAACTGATGATTTCCCGTCTTTATCATGTCTTCCTCCCACCACAAGAAGTAGGAAGAAACAAAGATTATATTCCAGTGACATTCCTTACCTGAACAGCTCACCATCCCTGTCAACGAAGTACGAACCATTTTCGTCTTTCTTCAATTTTGAAGTGGCTGCAAGAATAGACTTAGGGTATTTGCCCAGTGTTGCAAGGGATGTCTGGTAAGAAACACCTCCAACGTTAAGTCTGACGACTTTTTCTTCAGCCATGGCTCAACCAGTGAGCAGGACTCAGAAATTGTGCAACCAGTTGAAAGGACAGGGTAACCTGAAATAATTTGACTAGCACCGCTTCCTTTTTTATATCTTTATTTTTGACGTGCCAATATAGTTATTCAGTATTGGTGGTCGAAAAATTTAGAAAACGATTAGTATATTTATCTTTGAGCTTTGAGACATTTGCATTTGGGTTCCTTCACGATTGTCTCAAAGTCCCTTTGTTTCGTACTTCATTTATATTGGACTCATTGATTCTTAGACTGCCAGAGAAAAGTTAAAAACAGTATAATTTTAAGTGCCTTCACACAATTTTAAGTCAGTCACAAGGGATTCGAGCTTAATAGCAACATCAGTTCTTTACGCAAAGTTTGGAAAATTTAGAAAGAAACTATATTNTGTCAACGAAGTACGAACCATTTTCGTCTTTCTTCAATTTTGAAGTGGCTGCAAGAATAGACTTAGGGTATTTGCCCAGTGTTGCAAGGGATGTCTGGTAAGAAACACCTCCAACGTTAAGTCTGACGACTTTTTCTTCAGCCATGGCTCAACCAGTGAGCAGGACTCAGAAATTGTGCAACCAGTTGAAAGGACAGGGTAACCTGAAATAATTTGACTAGCACCGCTTCCTTTTTTATATCTTTATTTTTGACGTGCCAATATAGTTATTCAGTATTGGTGGTCGAAAAATTTAGAAAACGATTAGTATATTTATCTTTGAGCTTTGAGACATTTGCATTTGGGTTCCTTCACGATTGTCTCAAAGTCCCTTTGTTTCGTACTTCATTTATATTGGACTCATTGATTCTTAGACTGCCAGAGAAAAGTTAAAAACAGTATAATTTTAAGTGCCTTCACACAATTTTAAGTCAGTCACAAGGGATTCGAGCTTAATAGCAACATCAGTTCTTTACGCAAAGTTTGGAAAATTTAGAAAGAAACTATATTCCTTTTTCAATGCTCAACCCTTCCCAGAAGGAAGTAGATTTCCAAGATACATCGTCATGCCGACTAATATTAAGCAGTTGGTTTGGCTGATATCTCTCAGCTAGCTTAGCTACAAACCGCCAAACAAAGAAAAAGTGTTAGTCTTTTACAATGTAATAACTTCCGTGTTTAAAGACAATTGTATGCAAACGAAGTACAGCGTGGTTAGCCGAAAGTGGAACAACGGAAAAGGAAGAAATTTCTTCAAACGACTCACCGACAGTTTGGGTCTATATTTAAAATTTAACCATACTCGACATCCCACGAAATCTGTTGCATCAAAAAATGTCAAATCTATACCTCTACCGCAAAGTTTTAACTTCCTGTGATTCTAAAATTCTTGCCGAGCTTATCCTTCTAATATGCTTGCGTACCGTCCTGCTATATAGTAATTAAGCCTTAACATCCCACGAATTTTCTGTAAGTAATAGAGTTTTTCTATAACACCAGAAGATTAATGCATTTAATTAAATGTTACTTAGTGATCAAGTATCCCGATTGATGGTGATCAGAATCTGGCCCCTGTTTTTCAAACGCTGGATAGGGCTATCCACTGAATAAATCATTATACATTGAGTATTGGGAGAAATTAAACCAATTGCGTTATCCAGTGGTTAGCGTTTTCCATCCTTTGAACGACTGGGGCCTAAGTGATTAAAATTCAAGTATTCAGTAACGAATGAACCATTCACATCATGTATATGTATAATATATAATTATATAATAAAAGCTTCAAAACAGGATTTAGGTAGCTGAGTGGACAATGTTTTCCCTCTTTTTTATTACCTACTCACGATCAATATGAAATACAACAAAATTGACAGAGACACGCGAGAAATCTAAAGCAAAAAAGGCATCTTTTTTGGTTAGTTTCCCCAATTACGGTCAATTAAATATACCGTGCGTAAAACTGGACTTATGTTCCCTTTCGTTTGATATATGACAGAGAGCTAAAACTACTTCCTTTTCGATATTGGGAGATAAATACTCGAGCCTTTACGATATTGTAAAATAAATATCAAAACCCGTCCAATACATAAAAAGCACAACAAGCAACAACACCAAAACCAACAATAAAGGTGACTTAACTAAAGAGGGGGTGGGGGGAGGGGGGTGGGAGGGGGTTGACTGGACGGTTTTAGGTAAAATATTCTACGATATCTTTACTACATTTTACTATACAAATGTTTATTGCATTTCGAACGACATTTGAATTGCGCAACTCTCAGACAACGCAGACTTCCAATAAATTTATAGTAAAGCAGATTGTGAGCGCAAGTAATTTCTATCATCATTAAAACTATATTTTCCTAAGTTTTAATTGGTCTAGAGACTATTACGTTACGCCTTGCGCAAGACATTATGCCCTAGCACAAACGCATGCGCATTTTGCTCTCCGTGTTATAACTTTAGACAACTGTTGACGGTCTGCAGAGTGCAATTTTTTGCTTTTAAAAATTCTCAGTGCTAGTTAGCTACAAGGAAACGAATCCTCACCACCCCTATTTTTTGAACTTGTCTGTGACGTAAAACGGCCGCAAACAAAACAAATAAATTGGCTTCTGAAATAAAATATTCTATAAAAAATGATAATAATAAAAAATACGCTACGTCTCCTTGGTCTAAAGATAAGTTCGACGGTTCCGAGATAAATTCATTCCCTCAAGCCTGGATGGCTTGGTCTGTTGTGGAAAAATAGATTCAGAATGATAAAAACCTTCTCAAAATTTCGTCTAATTTTTGTTTGAATATGTTTGCGTGCGTTATTTTAAATGTTGCATCCCCAGTGCTCATATAACTCCTTCTCACACTCAGATGCGGTCATCCGCGGTTTTCCCTTCGGTAAGCAGTTCGTGCTTTGTCGCTTTCTTTCTGCGATATCGCTTCATGAATTGACTATTTTCCAATTCCCCATAATACACTCTGTTTGCCCCCCAAATTTTGCATAAACCATTGTTTTTAAATGCTCTTGGGAAAATGCAATACTCCCAGGTGCATTTAAAAACAATGGTTTATGCAAAATTTGGGGGGCAAACAGAGTGTATTATGGGGAATTGGAAAATAGAGAATACGAATTGTGTTGGAAGTAACACACCAACATAATGATCTAAACTTTCAACGTTTTCTTTATAACTTCAGAGGGCTGTATTCTTCCTCTAAAGTTATCGCAAGTATCTGAGTTATAGGGGACTTAACACAAAAATGAAGGAATGGAGTTAAAGAAAAGCCAAAAACAAAACAAAACAACAACAACAATAAAAACACCATGACTGATCAAATCCGTAGTCAATTTTAAATATAGTATTTTTCTCTTCATCCTCTTCGCTACGGATCGTTTACCCGGGGGTACTCCCATGTAAAAATAATGTTCAGGCTCGTCGTCTCGCCTAGCTGGTGTACATTGGAGATTTTGGTCTCACGTAGGACGTTTGGGACGAAAAGTCACTATATTTGCCCATTCAGGTATATCTTAGGGCTTTACATATTAAAGAAATTTACAAAAATTTGGAATGCTTTTTAGACACTACTGGAAGCGACTGCTGTGAAAGATACTTTCCTGGGATCTGATTCAACAACAGGAAAAAAAAAACATACAAGTCATCTTCTTAAGAGCTGTTAGACAATGTTTCTGCGTCGCATTAATAGGAATGGCTCAGAGAACAAGTTATCTATAAACAAACAAAAAACGCTCTCATTAGAGTCAGAGCACGTGTTTACAGTTTCTAGGTCTGTTGTTCAAAGAGCCCTGTGCGGAGGTGAGACTCAGGGTCTGTTGCGCACTTGTGATTTTATTGGCTTGCAATGTCATGTAAGAATGAAACCTAACTTGTTTTGTTGTAGAAAATAAACTGTGATTTCTTGCATGAAGGAAAAAAAATTCTAAGCGCAAGGTGACGCTTGCATATCTGACGCATTAAGTTACACTTCACCTTCATGCCATACAGCACGCCAGTAGGCAGAAAAGGAAAAAAAAAATTCGACGCAACAGTTGACACTTCACTTTCATGCCATGTAACACGCCGATGACCACAATTACC